GCTCGGTTCCATCAGCTTGTCTAAGTACAGGTGCAGTTGTCAAACATTGCTTCAACTTGTTGTAAGCAAGTTCTTGTTCGGTACCCCATACCCAGGTGGCACCCTTTTTCGTAAGCTTAGTAAGCGGTTGAGCTATCGATGAAAAGTTTTCGATAAATCGGCGATACCAGGAACACATTTGCAGAAATGATATTAGTTGTTTAAGGTTTTTAGGTGTTGGCCTATCCAGGATAGCCTTGGTTTTATCTGGATCCGTTTTCAAACCGTCGGGCGTTATGATATGCCCTAAATATTTTATTGAAGAACGCAGGAACTTGCATTTTTCTTTGTTCGCTGTTAAGTTACATTCTCTCATTTTCTGTAATATTCTTCTCAAATCAGAAATGTGATCATCAAAAGTGGTAGAAAATACGATAATATCATCCAAATAAGCCAGCAATTTCACATCACCCAGGGTAACTCGAAATCTATCCACTATGCGTTGAAATGTAGCAGGTGCGTTTCGCAATCCAAATGGCATCCTCTTGAATTTGTAAACGCCGAAAGGCGTAATGAAGGCTGTTTTCTCTTCATCTTCCTCTCGAAGTTTAATTTGCCAATAGCCTGCTTTGAGATCCAGAGACGTCATGTATGGGGTTGGCTTAGCTGAATGCAGCAGATCATCTATTCGAGGGATGGGGTAAGTATCTGGCACCGTTATTGCATTCAAACGGCGATAATCAACACAAACTCGCACATCTCCATTAGGTTTTGGCACCATTACTACAGGTGAAGCCCATGGTGAGGTACATGGTACAATAATCCCATTCTTTATCATTTTATCCACTTCGGCTTTGAGAATGTCTGTTTTTGTTTGAGACAGTCTGTAAGGGGGCACCGATATAGGGATATCAATGCTGGTTACAATACAATGCTCTCCTAGCAATGAGGGTTTGCCGTTATCTATGAAAACATCCTCGTACTCTGTTAGTAATTTATTAAGTTTAATGTTATGTTGATTAACAATGTCTAAGCTACACAGATCAAGGAATTCGAGCGAAGTGTCCAAGCTCATATTATGTTTTTCTGGACTAGGAAAAAGAGCTCTCTCTTCTTCTGTAAGGGTGATTTCCGCTTCTCGGACGTTACGCTCTGCATCGTTCATGATGAAGTCCGCGAATTGAGGCGAGTATCCATCGAAAATCGTAGTGGGTTTTGTTGTTGAGGCCAAATCCAGGGGCGTAAGCTTGTAGACCTGGGCGTCCCTTTGTTTTGGTACTACTACCCTTTGCATAGACCCCAGAGGTCGGGAGGAATGTTCATGCAGATATCCCACATTTTCCAATGTGTTGGTGTGGTCAAAGGATACAAAATCCTCCTGGTACAGCTCGTATATCTGATGACTGCCCAGGAAATTCCATGTATATTGAGCCAGATCCAGCACCATCCTCGCATCCTGGATGAATCCTACTCCCAGTAGTGTGCGGTTGTCTCTGGACTCAGGCAAAACTATAAATGTAGTTGGAATTGTCTTCCCTTCTAGTTTCACTGGTACCACAGTTTTTAGTACCTTTTGTTCCCTCGGCATTCCATCTGCTAGGGTGATACGGGCTTTCTCGCTTATAAACCTCTGTCCCTTTGCCTCAAGTTTTTTATATAGTATATATGAGGCCACACTTGTTTTGGCGCAAGTGTCTATATACGCGACTCCTTTTATGCCTTCAATGTCCACATACACCATTGGTCTGGCTCTCACATCCGATTTGAAGTTGAAGGAGCAAAAGTTTATGTCCGCTGGTGGTGCCTTTTGCTTTATACCAGCACACGTGGTACAACTGCTTCGAACTACGCCTGGTGCGCCGCATCCGTAACAATGTATTGAAGAAGAAGGCGATGGCATTTGTGTTGCCCTGGATTTCTCCAGCTTGGAACGTACAGGAGCTTCAGGGGCTTCAACCTTGATACCATATTCCTCTTGCTTCTTCTTAAGCTTCCTGCACTCATCAGTGCTGTGCCCACTGAAATGACAGAAACCACATTTCTTTTTTGGCTGGAATGGTTTTGTTGGCTGTTGCGTAAGAAGTTTAGCTTCTTTAGTATGTTCATTCCATAGTTGTTCAATGGCTCGTGAAATGTTTAATAGTTCGTCAAAGGTGGTGAAGGAATTTCGGGGAATCTTATCCTGTATTTTGGTCCTCAGTGATCCATAAATCATGTCCAGCTGATGAGATTCTGGAGGTTCAGGTGCTGGAAGCTGAGAGATTAGCATTCTCTTGTACGCCACAAAATTTTCTGTGGATGTATTATTTGTTTGTTTTACGCCAACTATCTCTTGATAAAGTACAAACGCTGGTTTCTTGGGTGCAAAGTTATGGCGCAGGCGATCCTTAAACGACTCCCATGTAGAAACGTGCTTCTTCACGCCTTGCCACCATATGGCTGCTTCCCCTTTTAGTAGTAGCGGGATACTAGTAAGGGCCTCTTCATCACCGATGTTTTCAATGCGTTTGAAAATAGTAACTGCAGCCAAGAATGCTTCCAGAAGTTCTGTGTCCTTGGTCCCGTCGTAGTATGAAGTACAGGAGGTAAAGGATCCTTGTCTGGATGGAGAAATTTTTCCAACAAGGTCTTGAATTGGGTTTCGGATAGATTTATCGACATTTCGTCAGGTAATTTCTTTAAAGCTGCTGTCGCTAATCTCCTTGAACGCGTGGTGTTTGCGTACTTGTGGTCGGGCCCACCGTTGGTCGCCAGCTTGTAGAGTAGGAAGTTGGGGTTTACTTTTTCCGGCCGACAAAGTAAACAAACACTGTTTACGACAGTTTTTTATTGTATATATATAGATACAGTATGACAGGTCCGTAGGCACCTTTTCCCGAGAGGACGAAGGGCGGACCTATTTTAGTATTAAAAAAAAAATAACCGAAGTCGTTGTTTAATGAACTTAACTAAAGAGGTTTCTGGTAATCATTCCAAGTAGGACGTGATTCCAAAATGCAACTTTAGGTCAGTCGTACATTAATCGATGAACACGCCGGAGGGTCATTAACTCACGGAGAATCTTAACACCGCCATCTAATTTTTTGACGTCACGCTACAGTTCCATCTATCAGTGAATATCGGAACTACTGTTTATGTTAGCGCGCGGTAGGCCGTATAGATGTCGCAAGTGCATGTGTTTATTATTATGGTAAATGGTTGTTACATAACTTTTTTATCTTATGGCACGGTGCGGGCACGGCCGGTGACCTCAACAAACAGGTATGGTTCAGCGATGCGATGGTACCGATTCAAGACGACTATAAAATTCGAATCGAGATAATCAAGATTTCAAAGAATTGTAGGAAAATTAATAGGCATAATTTACAAGAATAACCTATTGATATTTGTAAAAAATTACTAAGAATTTAAAAAATTAATCGCCTATTACCGACATCTCATTCGATACTTCAATAAACTTACGTCATTCAATTATTTTGTAATGAGCATGGCAGCTTTTAATAAACGAGTTCCTAATTGGGACACATGACATGACATAGGCTACTTACTCGTAGGTAATTTTAAGAATCGAATCTAAATCGATACCTACCTATACGACGATTTATCGGTAACTAGGTATCAGTAAGTGACTCATTCGAGTACTTTTCTGGGGGCTCATCACTAGGCGACCTTTATTTAATTAGATAATTATATACGTTACGCGTACTATCTTTTTTCTCTAGTTTTCATAATACCTACCTATTCTATGTAATTATAAGATAAAATAAATAAATCGGAAACTTTATTTGATCATCGCTTGTTGTGCAGATGACTGGCGTTACTTGCATTGATTGATTGATGACTTACCTTGATTCAGTTGAGAAACAGAAGAATCTCTAATGCTGTACATAATGCGAGTTTGTGAGTTCGTAACTACGTAATGTTTGTTGCTCAATCACGTCAAAATAAATAAATAAATACATAATAAAACGGCTAAAGGAATCAGGATGAAATTTGCAAAACTAGTAGATTATGATCTGTAATATCAGATAAGCCATATCTAGAAACCTACCTTTACTAGCTAGGTATTAGCGCGTAGCCAGTATTCTTAGAATTTAATTATATAATAAAGAATAAACTTAGCTAGGTTATCAAACTGCTTTGTTTAAAACTTATTAGTAAGAATTGACCCATACCTACGTCCTAACACCAGTAAGGAATTCGAAAAAAGGATGGTCAATGGTTATGGTTATAAAACCGGATTTGCGTTTACATACTCCATAAGAGCATATAGGTAAGGGCTGTACTTCAAGTTTACCTTGGAACTTTCTAGCCTGACCCTCGATTGAAAAAAGATCCTGCTACAAATAGTAAAATGAATAATGGAACCTGCTTAGTCCTAGACCTCATTGCATCTAAATGTTTAGGTCGCCAATATTTATAGCTTGGTAGTACCTACACGGTACTGATACAGTTAGGTAGGTTATAGATAATAATTACTTAATTAGTAATGTAGATACCGTCTACTATGTTATATTTTATTTTCGATAGCTAGGACGAATCAATCTTTATTTGAAAATCACCATGATTAGTAACATTCAGTAGAAATACCTACGATTGCGTTATTCTGAATGTGTGCCCATGTAAACGTATGTTTACTAAGTTGTGGATGCTTTCTGATATCTGATATTGATAGGCACTGCCTACCGATACAATGGAATGCCACTATGTATGTATCTACGTTGCTGGATATTGCAATGTGTACCTATTCTTCTAGTCAGAAGATTTTTAATGTTAGCAAAATAAATTAACTATACCTTACGAAAAAAAATCAAGTTACAAGGTCAAGGAACCGAATTTTAAATTCAAAAACTGTCATAGACAACGATCGATATTATTTACATTTGTATGCGCCAGCGCCCCTGACTCAATACAGCGTTTAAACTATTAAAATCAACGAACTATTTTCACTATGTCACAATCATGATTTTACCGCTATTTCACCATGAAACATTTAAACACCATAACAAAACGCTACTCACCGAATAACCCAATACTATCAGCAGAAAAATCCGACACGATTCAGTTCCGTTAATACAAAAGTTTTACCCGCGATTTTTGTTTTAAAACCACGATAAAACAGATAAATTCACACTTTTGATTGTCGAATCACTTGATTTGTCGCACTTGAACACAATTTTCACTATCACGAGTTACGTTTTATGTGTATTTTATTCAAAAACATCGATACTTTTACGTAAAGAGTTTTGAACTGATAAGGCACAATACGCGTCTTTTCACGCCGGTGACACTCGAGCTACTAGCGCTCGAAACATGGCTAACTCGGCGGCCGTCACTAGAACTAGTTTGCAAGCGTTTCGTTCGTTCTTCGAATGACGATGACGCGGCCGGGCGGCAATATTTGATCATTCGGGGCGTTGTGGTGTTAATAAAATGTAATAAAAATAATAAATATTTTTAAATAATTATGATAGAATAGTTTAGATATATTTTAATGTAGGTATAATTTCTTTTATGTGAACGGTTTACATCCTCATACAATTCAAATAAATAAATATACATAATAGGCGGCATAATACTTAACGTTTTAAATCAAAGCCTGGTAAGTAATTTAGAATATGCCTACCTAGGTACATAATTATATAATATTTAAGTCGTAGGTGTTATTACTTTAAATTTTGTAATACTATCATTTTCCATCAAATAAAAATGGTCTTCACCAATAACATTTTCATTTTTGAGTGTAGTTAGAATATTCTCCATTGTGTTTATTTTCTGTCGACATCTTCTGATCGTCTGTTTCAGGCTTTTTACTTCCAAGTTCTTTGCCGTCAGCACCTTTTTATATTTTTCAATTTGCATTTTGTACTTTTCCAGAATCGTCCTCATTTTATTTGGATTGGTAGTTTTTCTCTTGACTCTCACGTTGTCTGTGCTCTCTTCTGGCTGTAAAATGAACAAGTTGGTATGTAGTACACTTCTTTAGTTCACAACTAAATACTTTTTAGTTATTAAACAGTCCAAAATCCTTGTAAAACGATTAAAATGTCATCTTCTAGCCTTTTAGCCGCTATGTATCTGTAGTATTGTTGCTTACCTTATCAAAAACTAATCTTAACTTGAGAGTAGGTATAGCATTCGGAAAAAGTCTTCTTATTTTAGTCAGTTGGAAGCAGTCCTCTGTAAAATGCAGACTGCATATTACCGCGTTCTTCGTTGGAAACCAGCTGTCTTTGCGTCCGCAGGCGTCTATCCATTTCTCTTTTATTATTGGATCTTTCGGAAACCTGCAAAAAACAATAATAACTCGTTTTATTCACAGATAGGGACAATAGTATTTTACATTATTTATCTTAAGAATCACGCAAAACAACAAGCTGTTAAATGTTTTCCTATTTTATTATGTTGCACGTGAAAGTAGCCAAAAATAAATCGCGTCAAAGTTTATAAAAAAATATTTTAGACGATTTTAAAAATTTATAAATTTGAAATCGTCAACCCGCTATAAGCAAGCGTGGTGGTTAATGCTCAAACCTTCTCCGTGCGAGAAGAGGCTTTTGGTCAGCAGTGATCACTTATAGGCTGGTGATGTGTGTGTAATGTGATTGTTATCAATTGTATATTTACTAGTACCTATATTATGCATTTCTTCATCTCATTATGATAAATATTATTTATTATTACCTACCCTACAAAAATTTTATACGGATCTGACAAGTGCACTCAGGCGTGACACGGCAAATTTTGTATTTGAAGTTAGTGGTGGGGATGTCACGGAGAACCTAACCGGGCTCCGGCTCGACGTGCAGGAGAAGGAACGGGGTGGTTTTTTGTCAGTAAGAGTCTGACACTCCCTCCCGCCTCACCCAGGCGGGAGCAGTCATTCGATGACTTTGCCCCCTTAAAAAAAAGTGGTGCACTTGTTTGCCGCGTCCGTTCAAATATTGACCACTACACGCCGTGGAAGGAAGTCGTCCCAAAAAACCTACTTGTCGTACTGCATTTAAGATTGCTGTAGCCTTGAATAATGTAAGTACTGTTTGATTAACGTTTATTATTTCTCACCCCATTGCCTGCGGAATAGTATTAGCGTTGAAGTTAAGAACCTGAATACAAGTAAGATGGCAATTTATTAATGCTAGGCATATTCCATACGAACTCCAACATGATTTAAAAGATTTTGCAAGCACAAACATTTTACCATAGGTTTAATCCACTTTGTTCACCTGGATGATATTACCTAGGTGAAAAAGTACTTAATTTGGTGTCAACTGGGAACAATTTCACCCAAGTGACGTCACCTATAAAGGTAAATTGAGTTGACTGAAGTACCTAGGCTTCTTTGTTCACTTGTTACGGTTACGACTTTTTACTTTTACGTTATGGACTTATATCACCTAATTTAAATCAAGTTAAGTTAATATAGTAGATTTTGATGTGATCTTTCCGATTATAATTTTTCCGCCCACCTCGTATGCACGCCGCTCGTGCTTAATAACGTCAGTATAAAAATGAAACAAAAAATTAAACGTAACATACAAGTTTAGTCATGTCAATAGAGACATTTATAATTCATATAATGATAATTTTATTGTCCTATAAAAAAATCAGAGCATCTCCACTCCTATAACAAAACGCAAATATATCGTCGAAAGTATTCGTTTCTGTAACAAACTAAAAAATACTTGTCTAATCTTTATATCTATATATATAAAAGAAAGTCGTGTTAGTTACACTATTTATAACTCAAGAATGGCTAAATCGATTTGGATGAAAATTGGTGGGGAGGTAGCTTAGAACCAGGAGACGGACATAGGATACTTTTTACCCAATTTTTTTTTTTTACTTTTTATTGAAAATCAAGAACGGGAACGGGAAGTATCGGGATTGCGCGTACGAAGTCGCGGGCAGAAGCTAGTAGAGGTATATAATTCTTCTGTGAGTGTGTATGTCACTGAACTTCTTTCAAACGACTGGACCGATTTTGATGAAATTTTTTTGTGTGTGTTCAAGGGGATCTGGTAATGGTTTAGATTCACAAAACAGCCCGGCAGATGGCGCTGCAGTCGGTGTTTAGGTTATTTATCCTAAAGAGCTGAATTAATTTGAATGATTTTTTGTTTATACATTCAAGTGGATATGCAGGACAACGTCTGTTGGGTCCGCTAGTAAATGTATAAATGTCTAATGATTTAAAATAATCTACCAGACGGATATTAAAATAAAAATTTGGTATCTACCCTATTGTTGTAGTGTACGAAAATATGCGTACCTAAATACAAATATCGTACTTTTATTCTAATCCCTAACAATATCTTATCTATAAGTTACTCAACAAGTTTGAAAATTGGCCACATTACTCCTGTTTCTACAAACTACGACACAACTAGGCATGTTACATTCGGATATTACACTTCACAGACTTCACTGTGCAAGTAAAATCTAAAAAAAAACGCAGCATAAAGTATCCTGCCATTTTAAAGTTTTATTTCATTCGCCTAATTTATGGAGATTTTAAAGATGATGGGGTTATTGACGAGTATACAACCGTGTCGCGGAGAACCTAACGGGTAACCGGGGCTCCGGCTCGACGTGCAGGAGAAGGAACGGGGTGGTTTTTAGTCAGTAAGAGTCTGACACTCCCTTCCGCCTCACCCAGGCGGGAGCAGTCATTCGATGATTTTCCCCCATTAAAAAAAAAAAAACACTTTGCTTTATACGCCAAACTTGGGCGACAGCGTCTGAGGGAGTGAGACCGAAGCGTATATGCCTGTCCTGTTTTGGCAGCATATCGACGCGACAATGTCCCCACGTGGCAAGGGGGCGTGTCGGCTCCCTTGTAGTGAGGAGCGTTTTGCTCAACTAAAGCTATTGAAATGATGAAGTGATATTATTTATTTCTGCTAACGAAATGAAATGATATTTATTTGTGCAAATAAAACGTTGCTTTTTCTCCTGCGTCGTGGGTGCGTTGTTCACATACACTCGTGTGTACCCAGACTCGGAACAACAATCTGTGGATCCAGTGGATCACACAAAGAGTTGTTCCGTGCCGGAATCAAACCAGTGACACGTTGTGCGGCAGCCGGTTGCCCAACCACCGCGTCAACCGTGCAATCCTTAAGTTAACAGCAGTATCTTTATAAGACTCCCTACAATAAAAATGCGAAAAAACATATACCTGCTAAATATGTATGTTTCATATTTTTGAGACATTATTAAAAGCCTTGGTTCTAAAGTTCAAAGTTCTTAATAAGGATTTCACATCCAAAATATTAAAATAACTGTAAGGTTAAGAGGAGACCTTGGCTATCTTCATCGTAACAGGAAATAGTTATTAATAATTCTGTGTCAATAATATTGGTGTTCTACACTACATTATAGTAGTTGCAATATTTAGACTATGTTGCTCTAAAAATAATGAAAATCAAAAACATTGGTCAAAAACATAGATATAATAAAGAAGGTGTTATGGTGTGGAATAAAAAATGTATATGCAAAACCGGTGAAGCCACAATTGCCCCTCCATAAAATTATATTATATACACAGTTCTGACAAAACAATACTACGAATAAGTCTCGATAGACTTTGATAAATCTCCACGACTACATCACTATCTCGCTCAAATATGGCGGACTTGAGCAGCGGACGCACCATGTGACATCGCGTGTTGGTGAGCGTTTCGTTAAGTCACTTTTACATTGCTGGTTTAGTTACTCAGTGTCACACTAAGGTGGTTGTAAAAGAGCAATGTATTAATGAAATGAATGAAATGTATTAATGAATGAAAAATAAAAATGAAGTATTAGCTTGTTGTTTTTCGTGATTTTTAAGATAAATATTGTAAATATTTGTACTTACGCATGGTAACCGATGCCATGACTTCTACAGTTTTTGTCTTGGCTTCTATTTCTGCATGAAACCACTGCACAAGACGGCATTTTATCGTTTGTTGTACGAGTCGACCGCGGCTGACAACATACTAACTCGCGGTGAGCTGGTGACGGCCATTTCCTACTGAGCGGAACGCTCAATAGCGAGCGTCACCGACACGCCTCCTTGCCACTTCTCCTTTTTTAACCGACTTCAATTTTAATATTTTTATGTTATAAGTCCTCGCATGCTCTTGAGAATATTGCTGTTAAATAAAATTTAAATCAAGAGTACCTAAAGAAAATGTGAAGCACTTAAATTATAACCCACTATAGCTTCTACCAGCGGCTTCGCCCGCGTTCCCGTGTGATAAAAGGTAGCCTCTGTTATTTTAGACCATAATCTACCCTTGATACTATATTTCATCCTAAACTCTCCAGCCATTTTGACGTACAGGAGTAACAAATACAAACTTTCGCATTTATAATATTACTAAGATAAATATGCAATTAAACTATTTATAGCATCAAAACAAAAACAAAGATGGCCGCAACTGGTGGTGTGTAATTTCGTCCGTTAAAAACACGCAGCTGGTATTTCGTACACAGCCAGTACCTTGATAATAAACTGGTCAATAACAGCTGATCCGCATATGGCAAATAGGTACCATCAACATGAACGCAGCACCAACGAACTTTTTTATACAACGCTCTCCATTGCACGGTTTACGTTCAACTCTGTAATACCAAATTTAACTTTAACAGCAATGTATAAAAACAAAAGTTGGGTATCCTACAAAAAATGTACCTATTATTGGATACAGGTATGTTCCCCTGTAGGGCAGGTGTTGATACCTGGGTTCAATAAAAACATGTTGTTCATTCAGAATTTTTATTTATTTCTACTGAGGGCAAGGTGTGTTGTGTGGTAAGGTGAAGGAGATGACGATGGTCGATTGATATGGTATTTTAATTTGAAATTAAAATAATTCTATGAACGTTGAGATTTTTTGCCCAAGTTGAGTATTGTAATACTGACGCCAAATGATGTCAGACGTGTTTGATTAAACTTATTCATTGATCTGATTTTATTGAAGTTCAGTATTTTCAGTTATTTGTAAAATTAGGTAGTACAACTAACTTATTTTACTAGACTTACTTTACAAAGTCATTTATAAAGTAAGTGTTAATTTTGAGTAAATCATGTTATTTGTAGAGTTTGTGCTTTGTAGGGTGGTTAGGTATTGCAAATAATAATCTTAAACCTTAACATAATGATCTTCTTTGATCATTTATTTAGAAAATCATATGACGGAGCACCTTGACTTACGAGAGGTGTCTTCACATAAATGTTTTTAAATTTCTTTGACACTAAACTCAGGTATAGGTACTTGAACTAACTGACTTAACATGACTTATTATATTTTAAATTTCATTGAAAATATTATTCTGTAGATACTTAAATTAACTGACAAACATTACTTTAAAAATGCATAACATGTTCGTATAAATATAATATAATAATAAAGCCATTAGCACGTTTTAAAAGTGAAACGAATCGCCAGCAATGGCGCTCACGAATCGCCCGAGTGTTCACGATGCGATGGCACTTGGATCGTGACCGGGTTGTGTATGCGTAGCCTTGCCGATATGGACGCAGTATTGTTCGCACTTGACACTACCTTAGAATGGTGTGAGGTGGCCAGGCCATACGGGTCATCTAGGATTTGTATCAGGAAACTTTCCGAAAGATATGTCTTTATGGATAACTTTGATACTTTTTAAATGGACAGTAGGTGGACATGTAAAGTTTATTTCGTGATTCGACTACGACAATAGGCTAAATCGATCGACTACGACAATAGGCTAAATGCTTTTTTTTTAATATCCGTCTGGTAGATTATTTTAAATCATTAGATACACATTTTTTTTTACAGAAACGAATACTTAATACTTTCGATGATATATTGATTTGAAATGTCGCGTGACGTCATTTCTATGTACATTTTATACATAGAAATGACGTTTTAGCCCCCACTCCTAAACTTTGATTCGTTTTATGTAAGTATTGTTTTATTATACGACAAAATAAAAAATACGTGTCTAATATTTTTACTAACCTAACCTACGGACTAATTAGATTTTTAATTTTCATTCCCTGTCATCATCCCAATTCAGTCTCTGATTCTTGGTTTTCATTATAGTATTTTGATTTTTCTCTTTCAATTTTATCCTGGCCATTGCAACGTCATCCGCAACGTTTTTCTACAAATCATTATTGCTTCGTATGATTTCATTCTTATTTCTTTCAAGATTCGTATTCTTCTGTTTTGGACAATGAGATTATCTGCACATCTAAGTACTTTAGACCCGAATACTAGAAGACTACTCAATGGGGATGATGACAGGGTTTGAAAATTAAAATCTGATTAGTCCGTCTGTGTTAGGTAATGAAAAAATATTAGACACGTATTTTTTTTATTTTGTTGTATAAGAATATTTTCTTATTTAAGTATTGTTATACTTAGATAAATATCTAATCAAAGTTTAGGAGTGGGAGATAGCTACGTCTTTTTAGAGTATAAATCGTACTCAAAAGTGACGTCATGCGATATTTGTAATCAATATTATTCGTTTCCGTTCAAACTATTCGTTTCCCTAAGAAAATAAAAAGTACGTGTCTAATGTTTTTAAATAATCTACCAGACGGACATTAAAATAAAAATTAGTCATCTACCCTATTATAGGTTGTATTTAAATATCGTGCCATCTCTGTCATTTTACTTAGAATTTGATAGTGACAGAACTATGTTTAAGCGCGATATAAAATTGAGTATTGTTTGAATATTTGGACATTAGCTGGGTTGAGAAAAAACGGAACTTAGTTCAATTCACTAATGACCGTAAACTGTAGAATTATTCACAAAGATTACCAGACATCCTAGGTCATACAGCTATTTCCTTTTATTGTTGTTATATACTATGGAAATAATTGTTCTGCCGTATTTCTATGAAAAATGTTTTGCTGGTCCAAGGTTGACGAATGGTAATTAGGTACAGTTATATTTTTGTATCTTTTGAATGGACCTTTGAACAAAAGCTTAGGTAATAAAGTGTGTGTTTATGTACTGTATGCACTGAAGTTAGGAAACAGAAGCCATATTCACTACTTAGACCGATATAACGCTAATTCGATTCTAGATATTGACATTTCACAAGTTTTGCTTGAAAAAAGTAGCTGCTAAGCTATTCTGAGGTCTTAGTACGAGTTTCATTTACGTATATAGTATTCGTAACGAGTACGCGTTCGGCGCTCTGATTGGTTGTTTCATTGGCGCCGGCCAATCACAGTGCCGAACGCGTACTCGTTACGAATACTATATACGTAAATGAAACTCGTACTTAGGCCTCTGTACATTATGTCAATCCGAAATTTCGAAGTAAGGTCGATCGCATTCTCCCCCGTCATTGGTCGATATTATTCTTAACCAATGACATGGCGGACCGCGATCGAGTACACTTCGATCTTTTGAATTGAAAGTTACAAAATAGCTTGGTTGTACTGCTGGTTGTTGCTGCTGCTGTTATCCGTGAAATCCATTTGTAAAATGATTGGATGGTTCGGAAAGGACTTCTGTATGTTGATTTAATCACACCTCTTACATTCATTCTTACCATTGTAGTTCTTATCAATAAGTGTGATGATGTCAAGAGTATGAGAATAGTATTCACACATCACACTCCGATTGCAATAATTTCCAACATAATCATTTGATGGAATGTTAAGTGTTCAATAGATAGCCAGTCTTTGCACGGCACACTATCCCATTGTGCCAATGCATCATGGTGTCCTCATATATTGTATACTTTCTATGAGTCAAAGGAAAGCCGAACACCTGATTGTTCTATAGAAAATAGATAGTTGTGGTTAGGCGTTATGGTTTTTCTAATTCACTACATGAAGACCTCGTCATGTAACAACTGCAACTGTGCAACTGACTCATAGGATGCTATAAAAACTACTAATATATTTTATTTATTAGAGATAATGAAATACTGATATTAAGGTGAATCAGGTAACATATTTGATTATTGCAGACTTGGGAAAAGGTAATGAGGCAAATATTGTCATTGTGTAACTTTGGAATCTGATCAAACTTGACCATCACTCTGACGTAAACTTTCTCGTCATGTTAATAGAAGACTGGTATATCTTGACCTATGACAGCAGCACTGATTTTCATACAATTAGAGCACGAAAATAGTCTATTAATGTTTGCACCATATGTCAAGATGAATTGGACAAGAGTATCTACCCATAGTTTGAATTCTGGTATAATATTTATCTGATGTATGACAATATATTAGATGACAAAGCAGTTTTAAGTGATGACGTTAAGAAGATATTTAAATAGAGCCCTAGGGTACTCGGAAATAGAAAGTAAAAAGTACGAGGTGTGGAGGGCCATATACGGACCAACATAATATAACATCTGATGTGATTGAATAATAACAAGCCTTGATTGACACTTTTAAATGATATAGATTGAAGGAATGAATGGAAGGAAACAAGAAGTACTACTGCTTAACAAATACGGAATTAGGGATTTTGTAAATAAGGGACGTTTGACTAAAGGTTTATGTTATAGAATGTTGTTTCGGAATGCGTTGTTTTAACATAACATAACATCACGCCTTTTATCCCCGAAGGGGTAGGCAGAGGTGCACATTATACCACTGTACAATATAACACCCACTTTTCACTATTTATGTTATGAGTCCCATGTAATAGGGGGTGAGCCTATTGCCATATACCGGGCACAATTCCAGACTCCGTGCTACTACTGAGAATATTTAAAAACCCAGTAATACTTTGTCCGACCCGGGAATCGAACCCGAGACCCCTTGCCCGGCAGTCGCACTTACGACCACTCGGCCAACGAGGCAGTTGTTTCGGAATGCGTTGTTTTATGGTGCATAATTAAAATACAAAGAATCCTAACTAAACCTAAAGTTAATAATAAATGAAATTATAGTTCTGTTTAAACATTTGTATCAAAACGAATTCC